GTTCTTACACATAATGTTGGCTCTTCATTGGATATTATTATTTTATTACTTTTAAGAGGGCACTTAATATATTTAGATTGTTATATTGGAGCCAATTCTCACATTTAATCATATGCAACATACAATATATGTCAACAACCATATTATATAAGAATCTCACTATAACTATACACAAAATAGTTATATAAGAACCTCATTGTAACTACATACAATTTCAATGGAAATTTTTGATACTACACATAAATGCTTAAAGTTGATTTTTTCATATAAATAATAAAAATTATGTTTACTTCTTCAAAGACTCCTTTATTGCAACATAATGTATCCTTGAGCAATGTTATATCATATATACTCTTGCTTGAAAATGCACTATGCACCTAGCTATAGAAGATAAGTAGAAATGCAACAACAATCCTATCAAGTCTAATAAAATCTAAAGTAAACTTTAAATAAACCTTAATCATTCTAATCAAACTTTGACCAATACAAAACAAATTTAAAAGAAGTCATAAAAGAAACACAAAGAAGTCCTAAACTTATCTGAAAGAAAAATAATAAGAAATCTTTAAAAAATATAAAAATAAACCTTTAAAGAAATATCAAAAATATTAAATAAATATTAGAAGTAGAAAAAACAAAAAAAAACAAAACAAAAAAAATAAAAGAAAAAAAACTTAAAGAAATATTTAAAATAGAAATTCTAATCAAATCCTAATTTAATCTTAATTGAAACCTTAATGAATCTTAATCAAATCGTACGTCAAACTCTAAAATACTAATTGAACCTTAATCAAATCTTAAAGTCAAATCCTAATTGAAATGCTAATGAAATTCTAAATCCCAAACAAAGCCTAAACCAAATTCTAAACAAATCCTAATCAAATTCTAAATCTTAAACAAACTCTTAACAAATCTCATAGAAAATTTAAATTTCAACAATTAATGAAAAAACCTTTGATATCAACTCAAATTTTACACACTTTTTAATAGCTTAGTCAAAAACAAGCACAAGAAAGATGAAATTGATTGCACTTACTAATTCAAAGAAATCCAAGATAATCCAATTGGATATTGGGCAGCCTTTTACTCCAACTTTTATGCTAAATTTTTTAATATATTTGATTTAGGTTCAATTAGGATATTAGTTGGAATTTAGAGATGTAGGCATTTTCTTTTTAAACCATTTAATTGCTCTTTAATTTTATACAAATGTTGAAAATCAAGTCTACTATCTATACAAATAATTTTTACTTCAATTCGATTGGCAAATTTCTAAAGATCTTAGAAACAATCACTGACCCTCAAACTCTAATTTCTGAGTCTTCAATCCACAAAAATCTTTATACCAGACTTCTTTGAGTATCAATTTTTGGTAATTTGATATAAGTTTTGCTTTAATCTATTGTTAACTTTCTTCTAAACATGCCTATATTAATTTCTTATCTCATTTATTTTGATTTGGCTCATTTATGTCTCTACAAAGTAAATAGAAGTCCCTTCTATAAAAAGGCAGCATTAAGACTAAACTTTTACTACCTTTCTATTAGTTATCCTTATTTTTTATTACATCTTTCTACTATACTCTTCTATAATAACATCCATATTATTTTTTACTATATAATTGTGTTACCACACGACAATGGAAGAAAATATATATATATATATATATATATATATATATAATATTATATTAGTCAATGAATGTTTCTTATTGTAATTAAATAAATAAATAAAGAAAAAAATATATATATATCTATCTATCTATCTATATATATATATATATATATATTAGTATCCAATTAATGGTCTTTAATACTTCAACCAATAGGATTTTTTGACATTACATAAAAATTCTCAAAGTCATTTTTTATATGAGTGGTATTTATTGCCACTTTTGCCGCAAGCTCTTTATTGCAACTTAATTTGTGTTTATTGAAATTGTTACTTTTGCAAGGGGCTCTTCATTGCAACTTGTTTATTTATATTGCAATTGTCACTTATGCAAAAGGCCTTCCATTGAAATTGTCTTTTTGGCAACCAATTGAAAAAAGAATAAAAAAAAAAAAAAAAAAAAAAAAACACAATATATCTTGAAAACCAATCAATGGCCTTTATTGCAATTAAAAAAAACACATCATACCTTGGCAGCCAATCAACACCTCTTACTAAAATGAAAAAAATAAAACGTATGAGATTAAAAGTGTTAAAAATAATAAGTATTAATTTTTATTGATTTTTTTATAATTTTTATTAAAAGAAACTAATCAAATTATTAAAAAATTCCAAAATCATATTAAATGCATAAAATAACCTTTTTCCATAAGTGGTAATTATTTCTAAAAATTATTGAACTTTTTGCAACTATTTTTTAAAAAAAAAACCATGTGGTTTTGATTAAATAAGTATTCTAAATAAATTTTAATAAAAAAAATACTAAATGAATAGAAAAATAATAAATATTAATTACGTAAAAATATCTAATTTTTTTCTAAAAAATTGTAAAAATTATTAAAAAATATACCCTTTCAATGTGTATTTTCATTTATAAATTTTAATCCTTCTAAAATAAATATTTAAATTTCTTTAATTAAAAATTTTAACAACTTTATACTATAAGAGATTTTTGCATCATAAAAACTAATTTAAAAATAAATATTCAATTAATTATTATTTTATTACTAAATTATCAAATTTAGACATCTATAAAATAATATTTATTAACATTTAGCTATTACATAATTTAACTAAGCACATTCTTATCATAAAATATTAAAACTTCATGAAATAATTAAATTTAATAATACTATGTCTGAAAAAAATTATTAAAATTTTAATTTTTAAATTTTTTTAAAAAAATTAATATATTACAAAATTATAATTAAAAATAGTAAAAATATTTTTAATTATAATATCAATCAAATTTAAATTGATATTTAATATTGGTTTTGCATAATACTAATGTTATTGTAGTCTTTAGTACTTATATATATATATATATATATATATAACTATCTTTAATGTCAATATTTTTTAAATCATTCAAAATAATTTTAAATTTGTTAAAAATTCGTCTTATTATCTACAAACTATTAAAAAAATTTAAAATCTTTTGATATCTTCTATAATGTTTTATTATTTTATATAATTAATAAAAAAAATTTAACAATCTTATATTGTGTTTTACAAGCTTCATTAGTCTTTTATAACCATCTAATATAATACTTATTATTCTGTTGTAAATCTTTCCATAAAATAAGTTATATATTTCTAAAATATTTCTTGGTTCTCAAATTATCTTCTAGAATCTTTTGTAAGACGTAGTTGTAATTTCATAATAACAATGTAAGACAAGAAATGTCTCGGTCTTGCAAATTTATATTCTTAAATACTTTAAAATATATTTTGTTTCTATTCTCCAATCTAATCATGTTTATTAAATAATATCTTATTTCTTTTATAATTTTTTTTATGATTCTATTATTATTGTCTTATTTTATATTCATAGTAATAATAAAATTATAATAAATAATTGTTAAAATAATATACTAACTACATATAGATATTGTTATTTATTTCTTATATATGTATTGTATTATTTTAAAATAATATTACAAATATGTGTATATATATACAGAAAAATGTTAATTTGACCTAAGTTTTAATTAAATCAACTCACCCATGTATTAAGTTAAAAAATTAAATTAGAAAATAATTAGATCAAATTTTAATTTAATTTAATTTAATTATTTTCTAATTTATGTTTGTAAACATGTAGTTGAAGATATTTAATTGCGAATAAATCTATATATTTTATTATTTTAGTATCATCTTATTTTTAAAAAACTATAGTAAAATAGCATGCAATAGATTTTTTTGATTATTCAATATTTCTTTTGTACTTTTAAAAATTAGATTTTGAATATTATTTTTAGAATGAACCTATTCTCTATTATCATTAATTGTATTTCTAATATTTTTATAAAAATATATATCTTGTCTTTAAACCAGGTAAATAATGTTATGATCAAAGTTGTTGATAAGAAGTTATAAATCTTAACATAAATGATGAGAAGTTACAAGAATTATATTTACCTACAATTCTTTATTTATTTATAATGGAAAAATGATTAATATATATATTTTCTTTATAAATATATTTTATTTACCATTAATGTTAAGATTTATAACTTCTTATCAACACCTTTGAGTATAACATTATTTGGCTTGTGTAAAGACAAGATACTTATTTTTATAAAATATCAGAAATACAAGTAAAAACTTCTTATTAATTTAATCTAAAAAATTAGAATAAGTATGTCTACAAAAAATATTAAAAATATATTTATTTTTATTCTTACATATTCCAAATGAATTTCTAATAATTAATCTTTTCATTTGTATTAAAATTCTAACACATTAATTAAAAATTATAGTTGAAATTTGAGATAAAAATATTTTTAATGAATCCGAGAAATTACTTGACCTTGTCAGCAATGCTGTGCAGGTCAGTAATTACTTAATGCTTTTTATTGCAGAATAAAACAAAGTGTATTTTACAATAAAATTTAAAAAGATAATTTGTTTTGGTTCCCTCTAATAAATTTAAATTTATTAATTTATTAATCACAGAAACCAGCAAGATTATAAGAATTATTTTTATTTTCCTTAATAATATAAAGTCAAGTCCAAATGAAAATAAAAATAATGAATTGAAATTTAAAAATCTGATATTAATAATAATGCAACCACATCACAGTTCCAATCTCTTTGCCCTAGTTTATTTATTTTATTTTTATCTTCCTCTTTGTTTTCTCAAACTCAACCACGGCTTATAGAGTGTATTGAAGCGAACTCATAAACCATGAAGTTCAATACAATACCATAACTCATACATATATACATACAGACAGACATCACAATATCTCGAGTGGAACTGGGTTTGCGTTCACACTTACGGGCCAAGTGGACAATGGATGTGGCCCTCCCCCTGGACCCTCACCGACACCGGCTCCGACATGTCTTCGGCACCACCACCACTAACACAGCACAAGAGCCACAGTGAGTTCAGCACTTGCGCTCTCACTCTTGCAGCTCCTCAGAGCCAAAGCGGACGAGGGAGGAGGAGGAAGAGGAGGAAGAGGACGCATCAACAACAAGGTGGGTTGGAACTGATGACGACACGGAGTGCGTTCGGATATGCGCTGCAGGTGACGGGCTTTATCCTGCTGGGAGTGCCCATATTGGTGCTGTTCTTGCAGCTCCCACGCGCTATCACTCCCCACCGAATCGACCCCTCTGTGTTGCCTTGCAAGCTGCACCAAGACGCTGAGCTCAGCAATGCATCCACCTGTGTGCCCTTCCACCGATCGCTATTCCCTGAGGGCTTCGTGTTCGGAACCGCCACGTCTTCGTACCAGGTGAGAGCGAGAGAGAGAGATGTTTTCACTGTCATGCCTCGAGTTGCAGAGAATGAGCCGTACTTGTTTGGTTGATGTAGCTGAATGGTTGTTTTGGATGTGTTTTTCCAACAGGTCGAAGGCGCCGCTAATGTGAGTGGTCGGGAGCCAAGCATTTGGGACACATTCTCCCGTATTCCAGGTCAGACAATGTCCTATGGTGCTGTGTTTCCAAGGTTTTGTGTTTCCTTCGCTTGCACTATGGTGGATAGGTTGGCGGCTCAGAATGGGGCGAAAAAGGAAGGAAGCTTTGTATATCATCATGTTTTTTTCGACTTCTTGAATGAGGCTCTGAGTTTATTTCTATTCCTGCAGGAAAAATTTCGGATGGCAAGACTGGCGATGTTGCAAGCGACCAGTATGACAAGTATATGGGGGACATCGACTTGATGTCGCAGCTGAATGTGGACGCTTACCGTTTTTCCATCTCCTGGACGAGGGTCATGAAACTGGGTCACTCTTCAAACCGAGTGCTCCGTGTTGCAAAATACTAGTCTTCATCCCTGCACGTGTCTTCGTAATGAGTGACACCGTTGGTTTTCCTCATGGACAGAGATACTTAAATGGGTGTTTCTTTTTTGCTCATTTGTTTTCAGGTGGGGAGACCCCTGAGGTGAACCAAGAAGGAGTAGCATACTACAACAACCTCATCAACGGTCTTTTGAAGAAAGGTTAGGTTTATCGTCTGCCTTCTTTTCGATCGTCACTCGTTTGAACTCTCGTTTCTAACATGGTTTTGAAGAGTCTGAGTTGTACTGGCTGTGGAATTGTAGGAATTCAACCCTTCGTTACACTGTATCATTGGGACCTGCCGCAGTCTCTGAATGACGCGTACGGCGGTTGGATTGACCGCAAAGTTGTGTGAGTTCAAAGAGATTCCGGCTCCTTTCAAGCTCTGGTTTACCTGTCGTGACAGCTGTTCCAAATCTACGATACGTGAGACTTACTTGGTCGTCTAATCCGCAATATGTTGATGGCAGAAATGATTATGCGCAGTTTGCTGAAGCATGTTTCACTGCTTTCGGCGACCGAGTCAAGCACTGGATCACCTTCAACGAGCCTCAGACGTTCACTGTGCTAGGATATGGCAATGGTATTCATGCACCCGGAAGGTGCTCCGACCGAAGCAAGTGCACTGCAGGAAACACTGCCACGGAGCCTTACCTTGCGGCTCATAATGTACTCCTTGCTCACGCTGCAGCTGTAGACGTTTACAAGAGGAAATTTAAGGCTATGCAGGGTGGTGCAGTTGGCATTTCATTGGACTGTGAGTGGGGCGAGCCGGAGACTAATTCTGCAGCTGATGTGGAAGCAGCTGAACGGCACGTTCTTTTCCAGTTGGGCTGGTAGGAAACGAAACATCTGGGTTTTCGAATGAGTCTTCTACAAGGTTTGTGTCTTCAGAAGTTCATGTAACTTTCTCATTATACGCATTTGCATTGCCAGGTTTCTGGACCCAATATACCGTGGCGATTACCCAGCAGTTATGCGGACAAATGTGGGCAACCGGTTGCCTGAATTCACAGCAGATGAGTTAGCATTACTGAAAGGATCCTTGGACTTCATCGGCTTGAACCACTACACTTCCAGGTTTATATCCAGCGGTTCCGGTCCTGGGAATGCACTTACCAGCGACCACTGGCAAGATCAGGGAATCTTGTCTTCAGGTACAGGACTATCTTCCGGAATTTTGTATCGTCTCACTGAAGAATTCTCTACAAATTGTTCATCCGTTTGGACTCGTAACATCCTTGCTAACTTGCTAAATTCGATACCAAGCTGTGCAGTTACATCCCGGAACGGATCTCAAATTGGGCATCAGGTATACATTCTCCGCCTTTAGGAAACCCTAAACTCTGAGTCCTAAACGGCAATTCCTCTCATCTTGTGATTGCAAATTGTCTTGCATGGTATGCCCCACTCATATGCCAGATTTGCAGGCAGCATCAGAGTGGCTGTACATCGTGCCTTGGGGTATTGGAAAGACATTGGTGTGGCTGACAGAACGATACCAGAAGCCACTGATATTTGTCACGGAAAATGGTGAGCCACAGCTCTTGCAATTTCTGGAAGGTTATCAAAGTTTTGTCAGCGTTTTGTTGGGGTCTAAAGCTGCAGAAATTGATTGCTTCGAACAAAGTTTGTTCATTCAGAGTTGACGATGTTTTTTTAAAAAAAAATTGCATCAGGCATGGACGACCTAGATGGCTCCAAGCCAGTACCTGAATTACTGAACGACGTGAACCGCATCGATTTCTACGAAAATTATTTGTCCTCTGTTCTCTCAGCAATAGGGTGAGGCCATTACAGTTGATCTTACTTGTTTTTCCACGCAGTAGAACATGAATCATGTTGTTGATATTGAGTTCAAGCTCAACGAACTTGTGGCTCTGTGGCATAGAAATGGATCAGACGTCCGCGGCTACTTCGCGTGGTCACTGATGGATAACTTTGAGTGGTCGATGGGATACACTCGACGATTCGGGCTACTTTACGTGGACTACGACAACCAACAGAGATCACTCAAAGAGTCGGCCAAGTGGTTTTCTCGGTTTCTAACTCGGGCTAAGTGAATTTGTACTTTCAAGAATCCTTAAAGAAATTCCGAAAAACTGTGTACTACAGTACAAATTTTGGACTTCGAGGCAGTTCGAAGGCGTGCGACATGTTGCCGCTATTTTATAAATTCCTACTACAGACTCTTGGGTGCAGCGTCTGCTGCTTGTAGAGTGAATTGCCGTGGGTAATTTCAAGCGCCTAGGTGGAAGAAGCTGCAATTTGAACTTGAGAGGAATTTGAAGGCAAACCCCTGGTGTCCTATGTTCCACCCTCATTCGACATGTAGAACTCTGTTTTATCCTTGTACCCAGTCGGTTTACTCGATTGCTAGTAGTCAAGCCGACAAGCAAGCCTCACAAGTCTCCGTGGATTCATCTTCTCCCAACACAAGGAAAAAAAGGTCCTGCACAAGTTGTCCCGGTACTACTGATTCAACTCTTCGCCATGAGTTCGGTGTATATTTCTCTGGACGCCACACGATTGTCTTCTTGACCCAGCTTAAATTTTGCTAGTTCACCGTTCAGGCTATTTTCCACAACCGCATCTCTTTAAGGCTACATTTTGAACAGGGTCGAGGTACTGGAAACCCCGTTTATGTCTGAAATCAGTATCCTTGAACATTGTTCTCATCATCATTGAACACGATCCTGTTGCCACTTGCGCAACAATGGTCAGCTTCCTGGATTGGCCCGTTTGCTCACATCTTGCTGGAAACGGAGAAGTTCTCTCGACCGCTGCCACGAGTTCACCGCGTGGCGACTCCAGCCCAGTAGAAAAATTCATCACGAACATGTTAGGGTTTAGAAGACCGGACCGCTACGATGCGGGGGCGGAGATCTCCAGGTTACCTTGTTTGGAGTGCGCTGATAGCGTAGCGTAGCTTGACGAGATTCGTAGGTCCTGCCATCCCGCAGGCGGGAGCAGTTCCCAGTCAACAATCTTCACTCGTCGCAGAGCACATGAACTGTTGTATTGTTTTTTTTTTTTTTTTTTTTCCCCTTTCGCTCGCGATGATCTCTTCCACCATGTGAAGGAGAAATCGCACCGATTCATGGGCTTGCTTGATTCGAATCTACAGGAGTGAGGGGTCGCTTCGTCACGGCATGGACCCAGTCATCGCAACAACACCAAACTCGTTGACAAATGCGTGTGTCTCGGGCACTGTCGCCCAGCGCAGCCTGCGATGCCAATGAGTTCGATGATGGATGGGTCTCATTCCCCCTCAGAATTTGGACGGCTGGGTCGCTACGGATGACGACTGCCTCACACTGCCGGACTGATGCCTGACGCATCCACCACGAAAGAACTCGTTCATTCAGCCATAAATATCATCCCTTTCTTCATTTATCCGTGGCATTCATCCCTTTGTTCATTCATTCAATCAATCGCGTTATTCATTCATCGGGACAGAATGATGATGAAATCTGTTTTGGAAGGCTTCCGAAGCGAGCAGTGGAACGAGTGAGAAAAATTTGTATGTTAGAAATGAATGTTACCCCAAATGTATTTACTATTTTGTAAATATGAACTTTGTAAACAGAAAACAGAAAAATAAATAAATAAATAAATAACTAAATTCAATTAACAATACCACGTACAGATTAACATCCTTTTCCAAAGTCAAATGGGTGATTGAGGTGAAAAATAACTTGATTTACAAAATTTGCAACCTTGTTCCTAAAAATGCATTGTAGAGATCTTCTTATCGAGAATTGCAACTAAAAATTGGTGAAAATTCACAATATATGAGACTAAAACATCGTGGTTCTTGTAAATAAAATAAATAACATTTTATGTGCTATAGTTACAATTAAATAAATTATAAATAGAAATGATTTGATTGGTTTTTTTCAATTATGATTCTTTCGTTTTTAGAGTAATAATTATAGAATATCTACAAAAATACACTAAAATAAATTAATTTTAGATTTTGATAGTTAAATTATAATTTTTTCAATTCCATTTGCAAACAATATTGATTTTTCCAAATAGATGTTTTACTCTTTCTTACTATTTGTCAAGGACATAAATCTCAAAGAAAGAGAATCCTCAATACACTCTTCTATCACTAAAGAATACTAGAAAGTCACTCAAAAGGTGATGTAATATTAACTAGAATGGCTATTGCCAAAAATAAGAAAGATTAGAAAGTCTTGAAATAAGACTAAGACTATAAACGCATTGATAAGAGTGAAGAAGGCTTCACTCTTGCCTCCATATATACTATCTAATTAAGAGCTACATGCCGATGTCTTATAGGACCTTCAACATGTGTTGACTTTGTTAGCCACATGTCTTATCTTGCAACGTAAGTTATCTATGTATGTACCACATAGTTGGCTTGTTCCACAAGCTACTACACGAAGATAACTTGTTCCACAAGCTACCAATACATGGTTAGCTTTTTGGCCAAGTTTATAACCTACGAACACATCTAAAGTCAAAATCGTATCTATGAAACTTCTAGGAAGCTACTCTAGAAGACTTTATGAAATTATTCTATATTTATCTACTTCTACTTACTCATTTAAGTAACTATTGGAGTAAATATATATGTCCATGACATTACCTCCCCTTCTAGGAACGAGTTCCACGAGGAGCGATTTTCATATGTTGAGAAAGTTCAAGATGCGACAAATTGTATTTGCTACATACTTTGATCTTTGCTCTCTTCCAAGATGGTTGATAGGTCTTCTCAACCATCTATAGTATCTCATATTAGGACAAGAAAACCACCATGTTATTTAGTTATTGTCGAGGCCTTCATAACTTCCTTCAAATACAACATTTGGAACACTGTCAGGAGTTGTTTCTACGTCTAATAAAATCACTAAACATCAGGAGTCTCTTTCAAGGTCGTGATACCAAACACATTATATCTTTCCATCTATTCAAGGAAGGACATGTCGTTCTTGACGATCTTCATCTCGATTCCATTGTCTTAAAGGTTGTGACAATCGCAATATCTCATCCGGTAAGTCCGCAAATAAAAGCTCTTGAGTTGAATCTACTGGTTGTTGACACTCCATCTCATCACAAATACACAAAAGCTACAATGAAAGATAGAAGGTAGAATGTTATTTTCTTTTAGTCTTATTTTTTTTATAGCAAAGGTTTACTATTCTTCATCTTGATTTTGATAGATGTTGTTGATGAAAGGCTTCAACTTTCTTTGCTGCATTTGCAAGTATCTTTGATGGCTCCCATAAGCATTCACTAATATCATATTCATACCAATGAACAAGATATTTCAACCTATTTCGATGCCACCTTGAATCTAAGACTTCTTCCACCTCAAACTCTTGATTATTATCTACTTCTATAGGAGGAAGTAGCATTTGTCTTCTTCTCAAGATATTCACTATTTTATACAACTCCAGAAGAGACACGTGAAATATATGGTAGATCTTCATAAACTCCGGTAGATGTAATCGATAGGCAACATGATTAATTTGTTCACAAATAAGAAAAGGTCTGAGCCTACAATAATCTAATTTATCACAAGGACGAGTAGTCTTGATATTACGATGAAGTAACCATACCTTCTCACCCATATTATATTGTGGTTGCTCTTTGCAAAAGGCATCCGGATTGGTCTTTTGTCGTTCTTGAACTTCCTTTAATTGTATCTTCATTGTTGTATGTAGCTCTCACAAGTGATTTGCTAAATCTTTCGCCGCATGATTATCAACTTTTAAAAAGTCAAAAGTATCAAGACATGGATGATAACCATAATTGGTAAAACAAGATGTTTGTTGGATGGAAGAATGTGTCACGGCCATAATCATGTAAGCTAATAATTACATATAGAAATAGGTAGAAGTAAGTAAAAGTAGATAAAAATAAGTTAATTCTATAATATTTAATATAGAAGCTTCCTAGAAACTTCCTAGATGCTGCTTTGACTTCATAGGTATCTTTAATTGACTTTTTGGATTAGAAACGTGGTCAACAAGTTGGCCATGTGCCACACATGTTGTTAGCTTGAAGATCAAGCTAACTATGTGGCCCACACGTAGAAAAACTTGCCTTGTAAGTTAAGGCATGTGTCCTACAAAGTCAACACATATTGGAGGTCCTATAGAACGTCGCCACGTAGCCCCTAGTTAGATAGTATATATAGAGACAAGAGTGAAGGCTTCTTCACTCTTGTCAACTCCTTTCTTGCTTCTAGTCCAGGTTCAAGAGTCTTTAGTTTCTTGTCTTGTGGCAATAGCCATTCCAGTTTCCTTTTAATATACCTACTTGTGTATATTTTGACTTATTATATCGAGATAGCCTTTTGGTGTATATTTTCCCTCATCGAATCTTTGTCCTTGACAGATTGACAAGAGTACACTTACAATATCAGAGCTTTGTTTTTTCTTGAGTAAGAGTGGATTACCCCTTTCTCTTGACAAGACATAAGCGTATTAGAAGTTTGCGGATTACCCACTTCTAAACTGATATTGTTCTTAGTATCTTCTTTGTTATCAAGTCTTTCTTTTCTTTTGTCTTGAGCAATATCAAACAAATTTTTCTTCTTAGTGTCATTATGGCAGAGCTTGTTGAAATGAAGAGTGCAATGGCACAAATGCAAGAGCAAATGAGGGAGTTAATGCTTGCGATGCATCAACTCAATTCACCAACACAGGAAAGAACAAGAATAGCAGAAAGTGGAGATATAGAGATGATCGGAGCTGCTTCAACATCTACAACAAATCACGTTCCTTCTGCAATTGTACAACACCCTATAAGTACTAGAGAACCAAAAATTGCCTTACCTGAGAAATTTGATGGTACGAGATCAAAGTTTCGAGGGTTCATCAATCAAGTACAATTGGTAATTGAACTTCAACCGCAAAGCTATCCAACTCCAGGATCACAAGTCAGATTTATTGGCACTCTACTTTCTGGTTCTACATTATCGTGGTTTTCGTCTTTTCTTGAACAACGAAATCCAATATTGGATAATTTGGAAGCTTTTTTGGCAGAGTTTCGATCTATGTATGGTGAACACGATGCAACTCGTGTTGCAACAAATAAGATCCAAATTCTGCGACAAGGAAATCGCTTAGTAACAGTATATGCTTCACAATTTTGACAACTTGCAATTGACATCAAGTGGGATGATGCTGCACTCATCAGTCAATTTCTTTATGGATTGCAATACGAAGTAAAGAAATTGATGCTCAACTTACCTGATCCTCAAACTTTGAGTCAAGCAATCGATTTTGCGATAAAATGTGATAATCGACTTTTCGAATTTCGATCCGAGAATCATTCACGGAAACCTCAACGTTATTACTCAATGGCAACATCAACATCTTTGCCAAACGTACATTCAGAAGTAGAAGACATGCAAATTGATGCGATACGTTTTAAACCCCTAACTGAGCAAGAAAAGATTTGTCGTCGTCAAGAAGGATTATGTTTATATTGCGGAGAACCTAAGCACACTGCTCAACATTGTCCAAAAAAACGACGCAACTATAAAATGAGGGATACGACGGTCAAAGAAGACAACATGTCGGAAAACGGATTCGTCCAGCTACAATAGGGACCGTGCAGCTGGAACCTTGTACAATTTCTAATGAAGGTCCTATCCTCTCCTCAGAACCCTCTCTTTGTTTTATAATAGACTTATATTTAGGACCTAAGAATTACAAAGCCTCTGCTTTATTAGATTCGGGAGCCTCAGCATGTTTTTTAGATGAACAA